AATTTTTTTTCTCCTTTCTTTCTTTCTCCAGAAATAAATAACCGACGATAAATGTTATTTGCGATTGTTCTTCTCACCTCCCCCTCCCCCTCCCCCTACCCTCTCTATCTCTCTCTTTCTCACTCTCTTTCATCACCATTTTCAAACTCGAAATCTAATTTTTCCAAAAAAAAAAAAAAAACCATGAAATTTTCTTCCATCCATTCAATTTAGGTGGAAAAGAATGAGAGAAAGAGAAAGAAAGAGAGATAGAAAGAGTGAGAGAGAGAGAGAAAAAGAGAGAGAGATAGAAAAAACTCCAGTTTAAATTTGCTTACTCATCAAAATTGATACTTTCGGACATCGTGTTCGAGGAGGGAGGGGGAGGGGCAAGGCAAAAATGAACCGGGGAAGAGAGGAGGGGAGGGGGGCAATACGGAAGAAAAGAAAGAAATAAAAAGACAGAGAGAGAGAGAGAGAGAGAGAGAGAGAAAGAAAAAGATCGTTTTTTTTTTTTTAATCAACGTTTAATTTTTACACCCGACGGGAAAAAAATAATAATAAAATAATAATGATAATGATGATGATGATGATGATAATAATGACGTCGAATCGCGAAAATCGAATCAAGAATCTGAACGTGAAAAGTCGTTTTCCTTGAATTTCCTATTTCATGAACATTAAAAAAAAAATCGAAATGCCACCGACGCCATTTTGTTTCTTTTTTTTCTTTCTTTTATTTAATGCGAGATGAAAAAACAAAGAGATGAGATTTCGCATTTCCCATAATTATTATTATTATTATTATTATTAAATTAAACCCCCCTTTTCCTCCTCTCCTCCCCTCCCCCCTCCTTTTTTCTTCTTTTTTTTTTTTATATCCTTTCGAGAAGTAATTAAAACACAATCTTGACTCTTTTTCTTCTCCGACGGACGCCGCAGACGCTACCGCCACCGTCGCCATTTTAACGTTTCCATCATTAATTTCGATTCTCCCCTTTCCCCCACCCCCCCGTCATTCATTTAAACTTAAACCTTTTCGAATAGGAGCCCTGCCCCCTCCTCTCACCCCTCCCCCACTCTCTTACCACCGCACGCCTTAGAAATATTATTCGTTTTCTTTTTCTCGTCATCACCTTGAAAATTTTTATCACTCTCGCGACCCGAGACATCAACTTTACTCATCCTTAAGTACTACCAACTTTACGCGGACTCAATTTTATTATTATTATTACTATCATTATTATTTTCATTTTGGAAATTTTTTAAATAAATCAATAACACTCGAGAGTGTCGCAAAAAACATTGAAAAAAAAAAAAAAAAAGAAAAGAGAGAGAGAGAGAAAAGAGAGAGAAAAACCATATCGGGAGGATTTCATCACTCTCACGCTCGCAAATGGCAGTGACGTGTAAGAAGAAAAAAGGGAAAGAAAAAAAGAAAGAATGAAAAACCAACTTATTTTATGGCGCGAATTTTTTTCAAAAAAAAAAATCATTTCCACGTTCTTTTTTTTTCTCACTCTCTCTCTCTCTCTCTTTCTCTCTTAATCTTTCACTCTCTCTTTCTCTCTCTCTCTCTCTTAGTCTTTCACTCTCTCTCTCACTCACTCTCTCTCTCTCTCTTTTAGTCTCTCACCTTTTTTCTCTTCAACATCTCAACATTACTTCCCAATTACATTCCTGTCATTTTCACAAATTGTCATTCCGCTTCCTTTTTTTCTTACTTTTTTTTTTTTATAACAAAAACTTTTTTTTTTCTTTACAACCAACCGGCAACCGGGAACGAAATGAAAATAAAAATAAAAAGTTTAAATTTGTGTGTGTGTGTGTGTGTGCATTCTCCCCCACCCTCTCCCTCCCCCTCCCCCCTTTTTCTCTCTCTATTTAACGTTTTTACGGATCCTAACCTAAGTAAGAACAGTTCATAATAAAAATGTCGCCATTGTCACCACCCACTTTTAACCGTAATTTTTTCTTTTCTCTTTTCTTTTTTTTCCCGTTACATTTTCCATTTTATTTTACTCCTCCCTCCATTTTTCCCTTTCATCCGCGTGTTTATATATATATGTACACATAAAAATAAGATTCAAACGATTACTAATGTTTTAATATAAATAAATTTAAGAAAAAAAAAAAAATGTACAACAGTTATCGTTTTCATTCTTTTTCCCGCGGCGGCGTCATAACAAGTCATAGAGTAATAAAAAAAAACTATTATTATTATTATTATTATCATTATTATACTCCGTCTTTATTTCATTCTTTCTTTCTTTCTATTTGGTTTTGTTGTGAGAAAATGGTAAAATTGAAATTTTTTGGAAACCTTTTTAAAATAATTTTTCTTTTTACGTTTTTGAAAACACCGCCCCCCCCCATCCCGGAAAAAGGTTCTTTTATATTAAATGGGTTAAAATAAACTTGTTTCCGGTCAGTGAATGAAAGGATTTTTTTATTTAAATCTTTTTTTAAAAAAAAAAAAAGGGGGGGTGGGTGGGGAGAAAAACCTTTCTCGTTTATAAAAAGGAAATTAAATGTTGAACAATAGGTAAACGGGTTAGAAAAAAATAATGAGGGTAAGAAAAAAAAAACGAAACGACAACAACAACAACAACGACGACGACGACGAAACAACAAACGTCCGTCGTTTTCCCACCTCCCTCCCCCCCTCCTCCCACTTCGTCGAAAATAAAATAAGTGTGTTTGTATATAAAAATGTCGGGAAACAACCTGAAGTCAGAGAGAGAGAGAGAGAGAGAGAGAGAAAGAGGAATGGGAGGAGAGAAACGTAAAGGTAAAAACGCGTGGGAGGGGAATAAGGGGAAGGGGGTGGGTAAAACAACGAATTGGGGCGACGCAAACAACAACGAAATTATTATTATTATTATTATTATACGCCGATACGATCCTATTCGTGTTTTTGTGATTTTTTAATACTTTCCGGTGATTTTAACTCGAAAAAAAAAAAAAAAAAAAATCATCCAACAATTTAATCCGATTCGAATCGAAAAGAGAGACAGAGAGAGAGAAAGAGAGAAAGAAAGAGAGAGAAAGAAAGAGAGAGAGAGAGAGAGAGAGAGAGAGAAAATAAAATAAAAATTTTTATGCGTGAATTATAATGTTCTCATTATGTTATAATTTTTCTAATGTTGTTCTTCGATTTATTTTTCTCTCTCTTTTACTCCCTTCTTTCTTCTCCCCTCGTGCAAATCAATTAATCTTTATCTCCCACCACTTTTTACTCTTTTTCTTCCCTCTCTCTCTCTCTCTCTCTCTTATTACACGTTGAATTAAGGGGGAGACATGTATATATATTTTGTTAAAAATGCAAAACGCAAAAGAGAAAGCCAAAGTTGGAAATCGTAACTGCGTCGTCGGCGCAGGAGAGATAAACCCGTGGAATTCGAGAAAATCTGAAAACATTTATCACCATATTCCCGAAATTTTCAAATTTTTAAAGGACCAATTCGGAAAACGAACCACTCTGGAATGAAGCAGAAGACTATGAATGACGAGCCAGGTCTAGTTTGCGAGAGACATACCACCAGTTCAGGATTTTGACGCTGACGCGGCGGTTTTATGACTTTGTTTGAAGAAGAGTATCGGGCCGTAGCCGTCGTTGACCATTACTTCGCACGGGGGAATACGTTTCCATCTCTGTATGAATAAGCCCAACGAGGATGAAACCTTCGGAAGGATTGGACCGGAGACTCGTCGTTATTACAAGTCCCTTCCCGGCACCGGCGTTTTTTATACAAAGAGTTTTGGAAGACTGCAGATATACAACCAAAAAAGGTAGTCCTGAATGGGATATTCTTGAAGTGTGTGACCTCTGAACCCTCTTGAAGAAATCGAATACCAAGAGGAAGACGAGCGTGAAGTCTCCAGTGAAGAAGAAGCAGAAGACAAAGGAGATTAAAGGCTACTGCTTCCATCTTAATCTCTTTGAATTTTTTTTTAAATGAGAAAACTTTAATGTAGTTTAATAAAGTTGCGTGCGTTAAATAAAAACAAAAATGAACTTTATTATTATTATGTCCACTCTTAAACACGACAAGGCTCTTATTTGTCGGGGTTTTTAAGCATTTATTCCAGGTTTCTACCCGACGATTCCTTAGGGACAAATACTCGAATTTCGGTGGTGCTATTTATTGAGTATTTTCCGAAGAATGTGGGCCGTCCCACATAGTGCGATTTCCTGGATGATTTCCTCTTTTATGTTCTTCAAAATCTTCTTTAAATTTCCTTTTATTGAATGTGTGACATGGATCTCAGTGCTGCTCCCACGATGACCGGAATCGTTTCTGTTTTTGTTCCCCACATTCTGGCTATTTCAATTTCCAAATTTCTATATTTCAGCTTTTTGTTTGCTTCTTTGCCCGTCGGGTGTTTTTTTTCCGCCGGCTCGGATACCTCAATTAACTTACACCATTTTTCCACATTGTGTCTCAGGATTATATCCGGTTTGTTAGCTGGCACAGTTCTGTCAGTGTCAATATGTTGGTTGATCATACAGAACCGTGCATGGACCTACTGTCGTAACCGGGGTTGGAATGTGGTTGTACCACTCCTTGGGTAATCCATCCATTCCATATTCTCGGCATTTACTCTTTTTAAATATTGTCCGTGTAGCTTTTTCTGCTCCCACATGCCCTTTAATTTCTTCTGAGATTCGGCTTTGCTATCATAAGTTGCAAGTTGCCCTTCTTCCATTATCTCGTTTTCTTTATTTTCTTGGACGATTTGTTTTGCCCTTTTCAGAACTCCTTTTTTTGTAATTTTTTCTTCCGCATGTATAATTTGGGCTAAGATGGGGTCCTCTTGATGAGATTCCATGTATTTTCCCATTCCAATAATGGCATTCTGGTATGCCGCTTCTATTTGTCGTAATCCTCTTCCTCCTCCATCTTTCCTCCTGACTTACAATCTATCCACATCAGCTTTTGTATGTAACGCACCATTTATATTAAATATTTTCCTTGTCGTTTTATTTTCAGGTTCGGCCTTGATGAAGTTAAAAAACCATGAAAAGTCGAGAAAAGAAAACGTGGAAAAAACGTGCATCGTCGTTTTTCCTATTTCTAGTCATTGTCATTTTAAAAATTGTCGACGGCACGACGGAATGCGGGAGAGGAAAAGACTGCAAAACTTCGCTCTTCGCTTGTCCAGGATCGTACAATTGCACTTGTGCCAAAGGGATAGCTGGAGACTACGAACTCCTATGTCCGGGAATGGGACAAACGTCCGTACTTTCCGCGAGCATAATGCCCAACAAATACATACAAATCCAATGCACGTACGCGACTCATTTCACGGATTACAATTTGCTCAACGGTTTGAAAGTCGGTCCCGTCATATCCGTCAATTTCCGACTTTGCCCCCTTCCGAACGTACCATTTTCCAATCTCACGCGTTCCATCGGCGTCAATTTCACGTCCGCTCTCTTGTTTCAATCCTACCGAAACCTGAGCAACACGCTCGAGAGAAAACATTTCAGGGATTTGAATAATCTCACGAGACTCGTTTTGTCGAGCAACGGACTCACGGATCTTCCCGAGGATCTCTTGCAAGACCTCGCGAATTTGACGTGGTTGGATTTGCGCGGGAACAACATGCACGTTCACGACAATTTTTTCAATTCCGTTCCCAAACTTCAAACTCTCGAATTGGGCAACAACAATCTCACTCGTCTCGAACCCGGATTGTTTAGAAATTTGAAAAGGCTCGAACATTTGAACCTTTGGAAAAATCAATTGAAAAATTTATCGAGAGACATTTTTTCACATTTGACAAATCTCAAAGAACTCGACGTGTCGTCCAACGGAATGGAAAACCTTTCGCACGACGTTTTCCACGATTTACCCAAACTCGTGAGACTGAGCCTTTACGCGAATAATTTTTCTGACGTTCCGGAAAATCTATTTTCCAACTCCATCAACTTGGAAGTTTTAAGACTGTACGACAATCGGCAAACCATGGTGTTGCCCGATCGCTTCTTATCGAATTTGACGCGCCTCAAAGAAGTTTATCTGATGCGTAACAATTTGCAAACGGTTCCGGAAAACATTCTGTGGGAATCGTCGGCTGTCGCAAACTTATCGCTCCAGGGAAACTCGTTGAAAAATATATCGGAAAATTTATTCAGAGATCAATTTAATCTTCAAACGCTGGATTTGAGTTATAATCACCTCGCCCATTTACCGGACAGAGTTTTTAAAAATTTGAACAAACTCGAATTTTTAAGACTCGGAAACAATCGTTTGAAAACAATCACGCAGTGAGTAGAAGTAGTCCTAGTCGTGGTGGTAGTAGTAGTGGTGGTGGTGGTGGTGGTAACAGTAGTTTAGTACCAGTCCTTATTAACGGTGGCAAACAAAAATTCTTTCCTCCTCTTGAACCGATTAAATTCGAACCTCTCTCTCTCTCTCGAAAAAAATCATTTTGATAATAAAAGAGATAGAACAACCACGTGTAGAGAGAGAGAGGGGGGGGAATTTCCCCCGAGGAGCTAATATAAAGCGTTTATTTCTATTTATTTCAGAGACGTTTTTCAAGGGCTCAACAAACTGGAATTATTAGATCTCGAATACAATCATCTTAGTTATTTAGATAGCGACGCCTTGGGTCATTTGGAGCAATTAAAACACGCGAGATTTTCTCACAACATGTTATCCTTTCTCGACGATGATGGACACCCTCAAGGGGGTTTCCCGTACAAAGACACCTTCGGAAACAAATCTCCGTTTCGTCACTGCATCAATTTAGAATATTTATATTTGGCTAATAATTCCATAACGGAAATTTTTTCCGACTGGAGAATCGTACTCGTCAAATTGAGAGTTTTGGATCTGAGTCAGAACAACATACAGTATTTGGTCGTGAGTGTTGTTGCCATTTCGTAATCCCACGTGGTATTTCGTTCGACGCACGTCCACGATTTACACTCACTCACGTTTTTTTCCACCTTCGTTTACAGGTTCAAGATGTCCAATTCATTTCCGACGATGTATCCGTCGACCTTCGACAAAATAACATAACAATCGTCAACTTGTACGGAGTCGAAGCTTTGGCGGTGGGACAAACGACGGGTTTGGTCAATCCCCGTCACTCGAAAAGAAACGTCCGAGTTTTGCTCGAGGGAAATCCTCTCAAATGCGATTGTCAAATTTACGAAATGATTCGTTATTTCGAAAATAAATTAGAGTCCGAAGTGTACGTTTTCGTGACGCTCGTTCCCGGAAATTTGACTTGTCACTCGCCGGACGTCCTCAAAGGTTCCCAAGTGACTCGCGTCGATTCTCACCATTTGATGTGCGATCTCGACCCCGCGACTTACAACTGTCCGAAATCGTGCGAGTGTAAACTCAGACGAGCCGATTGGGGATTGATAGTTAATTGCACGGAAAAAAATCTAACGGAAATACCCGTCGAATTACCCATTGTGAAATACACGAATCACACGGAATTGTTTCTCAACGGAAACGACATACGAACATTACCCAATTCGACGTTCAAGGGTTACGAAAACGTGACTCATTTGTACCTGTCGAACAATCGAATCGAAAACATCGACACGGGTCTTTTGTCGCCGAAAATCCAACAACTCGCACTCGATCACAATAACCTGACGAAACTCGGCGACAATTTGATCGGATTTCTAAGTCGATCGACGGAAATCAAATATTTAAAACTCGATAATAATCCGTGGATTTGCGAATGTTCGACAAAAAGCTTTCTAGAGCTTATACAGTTAAAATTCAAACAGGTAAACCTGGGTTAATGATACCTTGATTTATGTACATTTCCGACGTAACACTCTCTCTTTTTTAAATCGATAATTTCTCCATCATTTGCAGGTTCCAATGTTGTCCAACGTGACTTGTTTCAAAGACAACAGGCAATTGTCTCACTTGTCCGTGTCCGATCTTTGTCCGGCATCGAAAACGTTAATCGCATCGTGTATAATATTGGCCGCGTTCGGAGTTCTTTTGGGCTCTCTCGCGTTTCTTTACTACCGTTACCAGAGAGAGGTTAAAGTGTGGTTGTACAGTCATCATTTTTGCCTTTGGTTCGTCACAGAAGAAGAACTCGATAAGAATAAATTGTACGACGCGTTCATAAGTTACAGTCACAAAGACGAAGATTTCGTCATAAACACACTCGTTCCCGAATTGGAATCGGGAGAAAATCCGTTTAAATTGTGTCTTCACTATCGCGATTGGATAGCCGGAGAATGGATACCGAATCAGATAGCTCGATCCGTTGAAAATTCGAGAAGGACGTTGGTCGTTCTCTCTCCCAATTTTCTCGAAAGCGTTTGGGGAAGAATGGAATTCCGAGCGGCGCACAAACAAGCTTTGAGCGAGGGAAGAGCTCGAGTTATAGTCGTTTTGTACGGTGACGTCGGACCCACGGATCAACTCGATCCCGAACTGAGAGCTTACATTTCCATGAACACGTACGTCAAGTGGGGAGATCCGTGGTTTTGGGGAAAATTGAAATACGCTCTCCCCCACACTCCGAGCCTCGTCAAAAGTCATTTGCAATTGTTGAAAAGTCGCGGGAGCAGAAAGGAAAAAAATTACGTCGACGACAAATTGGAATTGATACACACTCTCGATTCGCCGTCGACTCCCGTCTCCGGAGGCACGACTCCGCCGTCGGAAGCCGCCATAACTCCGTCGGAAACCATAACCGTGCCGACCGTCAACGGATTGAGATATAGTAGCAACGTTAAACAATCACCGATTGCATAACCCCCTCCCCCTCCACTCCCTTCCCTCCGCTTCCATCGGGAAATCCGTCGTCGTTACGTATAATCCGAACATTCTACAACCACACATCATCCCCCTCCTCATCCCCGACTCCATAAACAAACGAACAAACAAACAAACAAACGAATGAACATTATTTATCATTTTACACATTAAAAAAAAAAAAAAAAAAAAACGAGTACAAATAAATAAATAAAAAATGGCGGGCGAGAATTAAAAAAAAAAAAAAAAAAAAAATGATCTCAATTGAATCTTTAAGCAAGAATCTCATACAAAATGTATAAGATTAATAATAATAATATTAATATTAGCATCAAATCGATGATTACCCCCCCCCCCCCGAAATAATTATCATTAATAAACAAATAATAGTAATAATAATAATAAAATTATTCGATAACTGTTGAGATTAATACATTTAGTATAATGTTTGTAGTTTTTAGCAAGTAGTTTATTATTATTATTATTATTATTTTTTTATTTTTTTTCTTTAGTTTGTTTTATTGTTTTTTTCTTTCTTTTGTTATTCGATACTTTTTCGAAAGTTTTTGACTTGTAAATGATTTGTTTTGTTTTCTTTGTTATTTCTATGACGCGTTTAAAAAAAAAAAAAATTGTACAAAGTTAATGTCGACGAATGTACATATATATATATAATTGACGCAAATAATAATAATAATAATAAATATTTATGTCGTGTGAGCAATGTTTATTTTCATATAAATTTCCTTTTTTTTTTTTTTTTATGCGAAAAGTCGTAAACGATTTTTACACCTCCCCTCCCCCCTCCCCCGGAATGATATCGATCGATGAGATACGCGATAAATCGAAATCGGTATGTCTACGACAATGATAACGACAACGACAACGACAACGACAACAACAACAACAACAACGACAACGACAACAACAACAACAACAACAACAACAACAACAACGACAACAACAACAGCAACAACCAAGCCGAAAAAAAAAAGAAAAGATAAAAATTTGTAAGACTCACCGTAACGGTCCATAAATCAGAATCCGAAGACGACGACGACGACGATTCGATACATTTCAATCTCAAACGAATATCGTATTTTTCTAAAAAAATAATCAAAAGGTCAAAGGTTAAACCCAAATTGTAGAAGAAAAAAAAAAAAAATAGAATTTTCCATTTGAATCTCTTACCGTTTCCCAAACAATAATCACCGTTTGAAAAATTAATAACGGTTTCGTTTCGTTCGAAACTTCGAGTTCCGGTCTTGTTAACACTTCCGCCCGATAATAATAATAATGACAACGGAGATTTCCGGAAAGGAATTTTTTTATTATTATAATTATTTTGTTTCAGACAAACGTTTCCGCCGGAACAATTCTCATCATCTTTTCCTTTCACCGTTAAACACATTTTAAATAAAAATTTCCAATCATTTTTTTTAATCTAAAAAACAAAACAAAATTTTTTTTTTTTTTTTTTTTAAATCGAGTTAAGCTAAAAAGCAAAAATATAATTATTATTATTATTATTACTACTACTCACTTCCGGTTCCCTTTTTAAAATCGACCACAAATTTAAAAATTTTTTCCCCTCTTCATTCGTTATCGTACAATTGGTCGCGTGAAAGAAAACTTTTTCGTTTTTTTCACACGCGACGTCGGATTCCCAATAAAATTCGTATTTGCAATTTTTTTCAACCGACGAAAAACCCTTTATGCTATCATCATCATCATCATCATCATTATCATTTGATTTAAATCCTGTCGAGTCCGTGCAATTTATCGTGACCGATGCCGAATAATAAATATTATTTTTTTCATCGCAAGGAGATCCATTATCGAAATTGAAAATTCTCTTGTTGGAATGGAAAATCGGCGGACGAATTTGTTTGCCCAAACTCTAAAAAAAAAAAAAAAAAACTTTTTTTTAATTTCTTTTTTAAAAAACGAAACAGAAACCATTTTCCTATTTTCCGTCTCTTTCTATTTTTTTTTTTTTTTGTTTACTCACGATTGTTTTATTCGATTTAAAAACCAAATATAAAAAACCATCCGCATTCTTCTTCCACTTTTTCTTCTTCTCCTCCTCCTCCCACTTCGTCGTCGGTGAATTAAATAAATTTGAATATAAATACATGACCGTGTCGTTAATAATTACTTTTTTCATATCGTTAAAATCATTCGAATAAAACAAATCCGATTTATTTAATGAATAAATCTCCTTCTGCAAATAAAAAATAATTTATAAATAATTACTTTCGTAAACAATCAATCAATCAATCAATCAATCAATCACGTTTCTTTTGCATTTACTTCGGTCACTAATACTTCATCATCCGCCATTTTTCCTTTCATTTTCCTTAAACTTTCCATCGACGTTACATCATCGACGACATTTTCCATACCACTCGTTTTTATTTTTCCTTTATTACCCCCACCACCACCACCACCACCACACGCGTGAAAAGTTTTAAAATCGAAATTATATATGCAATTTTCATAGCCGACAAACGTAGGAACCTGAAAAAAAAAAAAAAACAAAATTCTTAACAAACAAACGAAACAAACGGGATAAACAAACAAACGAGGGGAAACTAACGTTTTCGTTTTCGTATTCCTCGACGCAAATAAATTTTATCACAATTTTTATTTTATCAAACATTTTTTCACCGCATAAATAATCGCTGTCGTAAATTAATATCAAAACATTTTCCTTTTCCTCGTCCAGAGTCAAATCCCCGTTCAGATATCCCAAATTTTTGTAATTTCCCTCTCGGCCGTAGCAAATGGACGAGTCGAACGCGCACATTTCGTTTTTACCATACCAAAGATTTCGGCAAATGTTCAATATGAAAAACGACGTCGAGTTATACGGTACTCTATAATTCGACGAATACCTTATCAATTTGCTCAAATCGAACTTTGACCCCGAATGATTTATTTTACATTTGACACTTTTCTCCGGCGGACATGCTTTTCTCGTTGACCAACCGAAATTAAAAACGCACGTCGATAAATCCTAAAAATATAAACAACAACAACAATAATAATAACGTTTTTAAAAAAAGGGGGGCGGGGACGGGGGCGGGAGGAACAGTCGTCTCTTTACGTAATCGATTAAATAAACATTATCATCATCATTCGAAACGTGATAATCGCAAATAACGTGAACGTAAATTTTCGAACGAATTCTCCCATTTTCTTCACATCCTTCTCCGGTCAATTCGAAAACTATGAATCTCTCGTCGAAAATTAATATTTGACTCGAACGTGATCCTAAAATTACAAAAAAACATTTTATTTATTATTATTATTATTAAATAAATCTCCGCCATTTTTTCCACCATTCGTGTGTTGTATCATAATTACCGATTTTTTTCATTTCGCCGTTATTATTATTATTATTATTATTATTATTTTTTTTTTTTAAAAACACGCTCGTCGTCGAATTTCCGCATAAATTTATATCGAAAATCATATCGGAATGTTCGACGTGGAAATTATCATCATCATCATCATCGTTCCGGTGAGACAAATCGAATTTAAATCCGTTCGTGGGATCGTGAACGATGCAACCGTTTCCAAACGTCGCCTAATAATAATAATATTTTCCATGATAACAACAACAACAACAACAGCAAATAATAATAATAATAATAAATTAAACGATTGATAACAACTCACTTTATTGTAACAAAATTCCGAGGAAATTTTCCAAACGAAATAATATTTACAATTTTCATATTTAAATAATTTCGGATTTTCTCTCACATCCGAACAATATATTTCCAATACTGATTCAAATTTTTTATTATCATCATCATCATCATCATTATTTCCATCGAAACATTTCGAACCGTTTGAGTATGTTAAAACGATTGAACGACCCTCGATAAATTTAACGTCGTTTAAAAACCCCAAATTTTTTATTATCGATTTATTATTATTATTATTGGTATCGATTGAAAAAATCGATGAGGATTCGTTACCGTACCAATAATCATCCGTTTTTAATTTCCCACAGGGATTTAATAAAAAAAAATAATTAAATTTCGAATTTCTTATCACCGTATTATTATCACAGAGTGGTAATTTATATTTGAAACCATCAACGTAAGACTGAAACACACAAAAATTCGCTTTTTTCAAAAATGAATTTCGTTGTCGTCGTGAAAAAAACCGTTAACGGAAACAATTTTAAAAAAACACTCACAACTTCCGGTATATCTTTTAAACAAACGTAATGACTTTTCATAACGATCGTTATCCCTTTTTTAGTAAATTTAAACGTGGCTTCGGGATTGTAAACGTTTATCCCACATCGAAATATTAATTTCATTTTTTTAATTAAAAAATCTACAAAAAAAAAAAATCAAAAAAAAAAAAAAAAATTAAGAAAAATAATAAAAGATTTTAAACAAAACAAAAAAAAAACGTTTTTACTCTTTTCGACATCCATTTTCGTACGACGACATTCAATTTCTTTTCCTACATGTGTACAATCCGTTTCGTTAAAAGAATATTCTAGAATAATATCGTTTGTTAGATTTAAACGAATAAAAATATTAAAATGATTATTTTCACGGGTTGTGTTCTTGTTATTATTATTATTGTTATTATCATCATTTACGGTGATGGTTCGACAAAAATTTATGTAAAACCTGCAAAAAACAAACAAAAATAATACAATTAAAATTTTTTTTTTTTTTTTTTTTTTTTTTTTAAATACGCACTCGTGACGAATTAATAGTAATAATAATAATAATAAACTCACTCTCCATTTTTTTCTCTTACGGGTATCCTATGATAAAATGGATGAATTAAATTACTCACGTCGAAAAAATCATTTTTATTATTATTATTATTATTATTATTATTATTATATTTGAATAAACAAAATTCGTTAAAATTCGAATTTGGTCGCGGACCGAACAAATAACTTTCCCAAATTACGACGATGGCTTTTTTATTTTCATCAAAATATTCATATTTCGGATTGT